AAGACAAAATAAATTAGTGTTGGACAGAATTCTAAATTGTACAATATTGAACGAAAGACCACAGTGGGACTTTTTGTTTAAAGTAGCACCAATCCACGCCTGATTGCGTTTTCATCATTAATCTGCCTGTTGAATACATCGTTGGCACTTTGAGTGGAAATCTTTCTGCTTTAGTGAGGATTCCTGGACTGGCTGAGTACACTGGGTTGCAAAACTCTTTATGAAGTGTGGCAACGGCAACCTGGGAAATGGCACATTTAAGTCATTACGGCCCTGCCATGGGCTCACGCGCATGCGCGCGCGTGTGTGTGTGTGTATGTGTGTGTGTCTTCCCCATCCCCTGATCTAGCTGGTATTTCGTGGCTGTTTTTCTGTGACAGTGTAAAAGTAAATAAAAATGCGTTTAAGGGGTTTTATGGTAAGCATGGTGTTTCCAAACAAAACAAAACAAAATAAAACAACAAAACAACATGAAAGAATGTGGTCGCAGCTAAGGAGGTTTTCACATGTTGTTTAACTCCAGTAAAGTCTGATCCAGCATCTGATGCATACTAAGGTTTTCTTCTTTGGCATGAGCCACTTTCTCTGTGGTGGGATTAGAAAATTAAGTCATGAATAGCTGCACTTTGGACACAGCGGCGGTTTGTACATTTAGGCAGGCAAACATAAGTCACAAACAAAGATGAGATGATTAGGACAGGCATGCTGGTGAGGTATTACTCATTTCCAGACAAGGACCCACAAAGGGGGAAGACGTCTTTGACCCAAAGGAACTACAGGCACAGCAGGCTCTCACAGAGCGGTCGGCTGAACCTTCACCAAGGGTCCACTCAGAATAAAGCGCCGGTGGGGCTTGGCGGAGGTCCACGGGCCGTACGCCGTGGGGACAGGGACGGGTACCTGCAGCACTGCAGTTAATACAGCAGACATTTCTGACTTACAGGCAGGTAAAGGTCTGGGAGCTGTGTTGTAACACAATCTCACAGAAGACAAAGATGACATAAGTAGGTTTTCTGACAACTTTTAAAACGATTTATTTCTGCTGCTCATTAAAAAAAATGAGTATCAACATATTTCATGCACACTTCAGTAGGACATTCTCTTACTATTCTTATAGTGTTCTATTTATTATTAGCATGACATTCTCACCAGGTTCCAACACCACCACAAGACGGAATAAAAGCATACCTTTCAGACAATCAGGGACTTCTGACATGAGCTCCTGTTTTCAAAAGCTATTTTGCCCAAGCATAGGTACACTTAATCAAACACTATACCAGATATTACGAAGTTAGGAATATGAATACGTAATAGCTATGTGTGTATACATATTATATATTGGATCCCATATATAATATATATATGTGTGTATAGTTACTCCTCTGCTTTGGCTTCCTAACTTAAAGCAGGACTCAGTTCTCTGTAGGAAATAGAATCAGTTCAAACAAGAGGACCTGCGATTGCTGAACTGTTATAAATATTTAATCCATATACATATACGTAATTTTACCACAAAAGCAGTTTCGGGGTTTAAAGATAACTTAATTATTCCAGATATAAGAGGAAAATGCAGGTGAAGCCAGCTTTTCAGCTAATCCCTTCCATGTACAATTCTGCAGAAAGCAAGTGTTGTCAGCCCTATTAGTTGAAGGTATGGCAGTCTTAGATTTCCTGCCCATGGCCTCCATTCCTAGAATTCAGCCCAAGCTCTTTCCCACTTAAGTTTAATCCTCATTCAGGGCCAGCTTTAGTTGGTTAGTTAGGCGGCGGTTTTGCTCAAGTTGCTGGTAGAGTTGGTCTGGACAGGTCAGCAAGCAGGTTAGCAGAAGAGAGGAGGCAGAAGGAAGAGAGGTTAGCCAGACTTGGTAAAGGAGTTAACAGACAGCACACAGAGATACCTCGGGTCACCTGCCGAGCAGCTCACCCTTCCCCGGTGGTCAGCTGTCCCGCGCCCAGGCAGGGTGGGCAGTAAAGGCCTGGCAGACTTAGGAAGAGCCAGAATTTTTCTCTCGGTGGCCACGGAGGGAAAGGGAGTGACAGGGGCGAGGGAGAGAGACAAGAGAGGGGAGATGTTCCTCCTGCACCTTACTAAAACCACTGTGTGAATGAGCCACATGCAGTTTCTGGCAACAGCCCGAGCGTCATAGTGGAGAACTTACAGTGAAACCTCAACCTGCCCATTTTGCCCACCTCTTCCCAGAACCCCTTTCATCTGCACTCCCGGGGCTGGCTTTCCTTTCAGGAAGTACCGAGAGGGGGCCCCCAGTGGCTGCTGCGTTTACAGTCCTTGAAACACAGAACTAAGCTCCCTGTCCCTCCCCCAGTCACCACCATACAGGGTGCTACTCTATTCAAACAGCAAAACCAACAAGCACTCATCTCCACACGAAACAGACTTAAAATTCATTTGCTTACTTCTTGAAGAGAATGGCATTCATGCATGGTGCGAGATGGAGGTGTAGAGAGTGAACAAGATCTCAAACATCCACAGGGAGAGCAGTGCAATGTCAGTTTTACACAAGGGCATACAATCTGCTCACATGGCAGGGAGGCCAACCACAGGTGTCAGGCTGTATCTGACGGCCCAGGGGATGCCGCCAAAATGACAAGAAGCTGGCACTTACCATGAAAAGCAGGAGGATATACAACTGGTTCGAATGACAGTGACAACCTGGACCCAGAAATTCTACTTACTTATCTTGAAAAGCTGACAATCCTACCCCTGGGGAGAATGCAACCATCCAGCCTCCGGCCCCCAGGTGTGTCAGGAAATTAATCAAGTCTTATTTCAGCTCCCTCTCTTTAAGTGGTAGGGGATGGGGGGAAGATGCCATATGCACTAGGCTTTCTAGCTTGAAGTATCTGCTACCTTGTCCTCTTTGCTCATCCACATTCTCTGGATATTCAAAACACTAGTCAAATGTCACCTTCTCCGTGTAGTTCCAAGTGTACACCATCTGTGAGTTCAGACACGCCTCACTCCTCTACCTTCCAGCAAGGCGGCCAGCTCATCAGGGGCAAAGAACACTTCCGGCTCATCTCTTCACATCTCCACTGCCTTCCACAGTGTCTTGTGTAAGGGATGTGGCTCTGGAGTTGCAAAGCTAAACCCCACTGGCACATTCCCATTACCGCATGTGGGGTGATCGCCATGGGCAGGCAGGATGTCTCAGTTTGCTGAGTCCATGTCCAGCCAAACTGGAATGAAAGAACTTTAGGGAAACCCTGGAGAACCCAGAAAGTCGATGTGAACTCAGCTAAAATGACAGATGTTCCTACCACACCCCCCCTTTGGACCTGCTCCACTGCAGCTGCCATGGAGCTTGTCTGCCCGGGGGGCCTGAGGGCAGGGACCAGAAACAGTTACACATTTGGAAGGGTTTTCCCCTCCTGTCCTACCTCCCAGACATCTGGAACCTCTAGGGCCCAGATTCAGCAGTGCTTTCTGTTTGATCCTACCAGGTTCTTGCAGTAGCAACAGCTATGGTTTGGCCTTCTGAACTAGAAACCTGGGCCCTGACAATTTCTGGACAGATTCAAGTCGCTAGTGATCCTCTTGTGAACCCATACCTTCTGGGGCTCGTCTAGATTTGCCTTCCTAAACCATTAGTTTCCCATTTCCCTTGGAGAACGTTCTTACAGAGAAAGTGTGAAAGTCTCTGGAAGGGTTTCCAAAAAAGAAAAAAAAAAATGTGCCTCCAGAATTAACGGCACATCTGCTCAGAACTTTTAGACTCCTCATTTTGTCTATAGCAGGAAACAGGGTCGCCCAGAGAAGGGCCCACTATCACTAGGAATTAAAAAAAAAAAAAGGATAGGAATTATAGTCAAAAGCAGACCCAATGAGGCTTAGGGAGGAAAAAAATCCATGAAATTATAGAAGTCTACACCCTCAAGGGAGAGACAGTGACTCCAGATTCTAAATTTTAGAGAGCCTACTATAACACTATTAAAATACTTTAATTTGTTGTCCTCTTAAAGACTATTCTTCTTCTGCTCTGAAGTCTTTGTAGAGTGAATGACATTATTTTCAGTTTGTCTAAATTTATTTGAGTATAGTGGTATATATCAACTCTCTCAGACTAACAAAAACAGATGAAAATCACCCACATTTAAAGCACAAGAGAAATAGAGCCAGACTGTTGAGGATGCAGAAATGTTGGGAATTAAGAAACAAAAGTCCGTATCATTTTAAAGTTCTAATTTTGAAACGTGTTTCTCTTTGAAAATCACTTAGCTGCTATTTTTGAAGTGAACCAGTAAAGCCTAAATAAAATATAACTCTATTCTGAACAATTTCTACTAACTTCGCTTTTAGGGAAAAGAAAAAAAAAAAGAATAAACTCCAACGGCTATCTTTAAAAATGCCTACAAATGAAGGATATTACAAAGATTATGTACATACAAACCCTCCTAAAAAATACGTGATGTCCTTAAGGGCACAAAAATGAACCTTGACTTAAATGTTATCATATTTAGAAAACTAAGGGGTGCCTCGGTGGCTTAGTGAGTTAAGCGTCTGCCTTCAGCTTAGGTCATGATCCTGGGGTCCTGGGATCGAGCCCTGAGTTGGGCTCCCTGCAGAGCAAGGAGCCTGCTTCTCTCTCTGCCCCTCCCCACAGCTCGTGCTCTTGCTCTCTCTCCAATAAATAAATAAAATCTTAAAAAAACAACAACAAACTTAAGATGTCATTTCATGATCAAAATGAAGGTGGCTGAGTAACGAATATACTTTTAACAAGCTTTAATGGTTCTTTGGCCTGTAAAAGGATGACCAACAATAACCTCAACTACCACCGTCAGGACACAAGTAATTTTTTGAGATCCCGGTATGTGAATTCTTGGCAGTGTGGGCCGCTAGTTAGTCATGTCCCAGCAAGCAGGGCCACCTCAGCATCCGCACAGGGGGCTCACCACATCCCACACCAAACCTCTGGCAGAGGAAGACACTGTTCAAGGCACATCTTCTCACTTCAGCAAGCAATGTCCCCTGTGCGGATGTTCTCAATGAGGATTATATACCAGAACCATCACCCTCTCAAAAACACAAAACAAACCCCCCCACCCCCACCGAGATGCCCAGGCCTCATTCTAAACTTTACAAACCAAAACTCTGAGAGGGACCCACGCATGAGTATTTTTTAAAAGTTCCGTATGGAACTACTGCTTTAGAAACTTTTAATATTAATGTTCAGCATGAAGGGGGGGAGCAGCCAAAAACTAACCCTCATATATGTGAAGTAGATTTGTAGTTTTATTCAGTGTTGAAACAAAAAATGTCAATAAATAAGTAAAGAGAAGAGCAAACAGAAACAGCTTGCACAGTGTTTATTTGACACTGAAATGAAGAGCTTCTGTACAATGGAAAGCAGTGTGCCTGGCCCTGAGGCAGGAGGCTAAAGGAACGAGCCAGGTCAGCTGGAGAAGAGACAAACTGCAGAGCTCAGAGAGGTGGGACAGCCAGCTTGATGAAGGGGTCTCGGGAGAAGTGAGGCAAAGAAACTTATCTGCATGAGGAGAAAAGGTGGGAGAAAAGGAAAACAAAGTGGCACAATGGAAAAAAGGAAAATCAAACTAACAGAGGAGAGCAGCACTTGACACACAGACCAGAAGCAGACATGCAAAACCCGCTGCCAGCCGCACCTGCAGGAGGATGCCCATCCTCACCCGCCAGCGTTGGGACCCAAGGCCAGCATACGCCCCTCCGGGCGAGGGGCCATTGCGAAGAAGACCCAAGAACAAGAGTTTAAAAACAGACTTTAAGCTAACCCACCTTTCAGAATAGTTAATCGTACACAATGTCACGAGTTTTCCCTTTAGAATCACCACATTTTAGCACTGGAAAAGACCTTAGAGACAGCGATTCTGATTCATCCCGCATTTACAAATGAGGGAAAGGAGCATGGAATTCTCTTTACTTTCCATGGGGACAGTCAATGCATCTCATGGTGATGTGGAGATTCTAGAACCTGTGAGGCGGCAGGGACAGGCCACACCCTTCAGGCTATCATTTCCCTGCATAGGTGGGTCTGCAAATTTCCAGCTTACATGGAATTCAGTGCCATATTATTAGAACGAAGGGAACCCTCTGTGGAAAGCTCCAGGTTAGAATTTAAAGAGGCAGAAAAGTGTGATGCTTAGGTTTAGTTAGTAATATGCGGATTAGTTGTATATGCTCAAAACTCTCATGAGAACAAGGGATCTACTCCAACTCTCACTGCCTCATGCAGTTAAAAGTGGGCATTAACTCCCGAACTCATACTGGGCAATCAGGGTTTTATTTCCCAATTCTCTGACACCAGTTGTGGTGTTCGTTGTGAATATTTCAATTCCTTTTATCTAAACACAGAAAATTAAAGGCTCTGGTATTCAGCAGATGAACCATTTCTCTCCAGAATTCTTAAAAGCGAGGAAGAGATGATCTCTCACAGCACCATTTCTTAGGCTGTACCAGATCAATTTCCTCTCAGATCATCAATAACTGGACTTAAGGAACTTTAGGGTTCCTTAAATTTATAGATCTTTTACAAAAATGGTCATATTGTATTTAACTGAATCTCAGGATACCAATTTTTTGGATATTTCTGGCGAAGTTTGTGCACGATGGCATGGCCTTCAATTTTACTTGAGCCTAGTTTGATTTCCTAAAAGGGTAGCTCTCAAGTCCTTCATATTTCAGTTCACTGCTTGGTGGGAACAATCTAGCTCAGAGATTGTGAAAGAAACAGATTCTGAAAGGAAAATGATTTGTACAGAGAGACTTAATCTGCTTGGCTTTTATATTAGTAGAATGTGAACAAAACCAAACTATCCTAGGTGATGCAAAGAGAGTAAACAGAAAGGTGTGAAGATGGAGCTTCTGGAAGTACAGAAGGGAGCAGTGGTGAGTTTATCGTATTAGCATGAGGGCACGGATGTGAGCAGGCAGGGTGGATGACATTTACATGGAAGTCATATCGTTGAGAGCGTGGTCCAGCTCCTCGCTGATGGCTTTGTACTTCAGTTTCTGAGCGTACAGCTCGTCTATGACCAGGAAGTGGAAGGCAGAGGTGCAAGGGCATGGAGAGTGATCAAGAGATGGAGGGTGAGCAAGGGTGGCGCGGACGCCATCCCGACACAGCAGCAAGAAAGGGGCAGTGCATGAAGGAAGTGGTATCGCAGCAGGTGGCCAATGCAGGAGGCGTGCGTTTTGTTTTTAAATGAATTGAAACAAAAACAAAAAGAACAAAAGCCATTAGAAAATAAAACAAGAAAGACCCAATATGAAAATCATCACAAATATGGCTGGTAGAGCAGTAAACCATGTTAAACCCTAAATGAAACCACAGAAGGCTGTCAGCTGGGTAGGTGACAGCACACCTCTCCCATCTATAGCTCCATTTTCATGGCACTGGAGCAGTCAGCCACCTGCGACTATAAACAGTGGGGAAAATATCCAAGGGCAGTGTTTTGGAAGAACAATTTGTGTCTCTGGTCTGTCATCCTGATCTGGCTCCGCCTTCCAACCACTGACTTCCTGATCAAACTAGCCTCCTGGAATACTGGTTTCTGAGTGCCCTGTGAGTTGCTAAGCTACCCTGCTCCTGGCCTGGGGGGACTGAGAAGCGAGGGGAGCCACACGTTTAGGGTGGTGCTGTGCCAAGTCTCCAGTTTAGTCTCTGTAATGAGGAGGGTTTCATTCTTTGCTGCACTCCGGCAGATTGTTTTGCAACCATCTGTCACCCTCTCTTCCCCACCAGCTTGGTATTCATCAGCACCAACGTCCAGTGCCTTCACCAGCCCCTTCTGCCTTCCTTGTCCATTTTAAATATTTCCCCGTCTGTTCTTTTTCATAGCTGACCCTCCACACGCCTCAGAGTTCAACATTTAGGATTTCTGTGAGACAAAGGTGGGTGTTACTAAAACAAAACCTACACACCTGAGGGGAGAAAGGCTTAAATATCATCTCAAACAACAGTGTCCTATTACCCCCACACCCCTTTCAGAATGTGGAGCACTTGCTAAGATATGAAGGGCTTAAACCCAACCCTTACATTGGATTCTTACTTGGAAGATGAGTTTTGTCTAAAAACAAATCCATGCCACTCTGACAATTAGGAGGTATCACTGAGTAGAAAATACGCTAGTCGCTCTCACCTACAACCACCTCACCCACAATGACAAATAAACCCGCCACACTTCTCAGAGTGTGAAGTCAAGCCGGATGGCATCTGCCGTTAGAGAGAGACGGGCCTCGTCTAGTGGCTAGCAGTCATCTGGTGAGCAGAGGACTCAGGTTCAAGAGTTTAGGAGCCACAGAATGAAAACCCCAAAGGGCAGACAGGAAGAATGTGCAAGAGCAAAGAAGTGTATCAAGGAGGATGCATTTGGATTGGAAAACTGCTTTGTGAGGTCAGTAGTCAACCATAAGAACTAACTAAAAAATAAAACTTAAGATCTTACCTTCTAAGTCATCAATGCTTTTCTCCAACTTAGTTACTGACCTCTCCGCAAACTCAGCCCGAGTCTCGGCCTGTAAGGATGCCATTTATTTCAGTCAGAATTGGGAAGTTTTACATCACTAGTAGCTACAAATATAGGGAGAACTAGAGAATGAAAGTCAAGCACAGCACCCACAAAATGGGTGTGGAACGGAGGGCCTGTCAGTTCGTCACCAACACAGCACATTAACTCCAGGACCACCTTTGAATATTGCTGACTGGGCTCACCATACTTTTGAGACGAAGCAGCCCTAACCAGCTCCATAAAAACGGGACTCAGTTAAAATCCAGTTGGCTTCATCTAAAACATTCAGAGTATTACCTCCTTCAGCTTGTCAGAAAGGACCTTGATCTCTTCCTCGTATTTGTCTTCCTTCTGAGAGTACTGTAATGAGAAAGAGCATTCCAGATGTCAGGCTACAGCTCACCCTAACCTCAGGTCTTCAAATACAAAGAAAGTGCCAGCCCAGCCAACAGATGCTGAGGATCTCCTAGAGGAGGTACTGGAGCCTCTGATACCAAATGGCACGCTACAGTACGTTCTCTGTTCTCTTGCCCTATCATGTTACATGGCACAAGAACAAGATAACTCGGCCACGTGGCGCTTGGTTTAAATTGAATTGTTGCCGACGGACTCACCTACTCAACATAAAATATGTTCTCTAGTAAAAGAAAAAAAAAAAAAGAATCTGTTATCCAATAACCATCAAGAAATCACCTCACAATGATGCCATTTGCTAAATAAAATGCCTAAGGGACTCCTGCTTTCATCGGCGGGGCCTCAGACGAGAAAGAGTGCGTGCTTTTTGAGCAGCTCCTACAAGACGCCTTTCCCCCACACCGTGCTCCTGGCCTACCTTCTCAGCCTGAGCCTCCAGTGACTTCAAGTTGTTCGTCACAGTTTTCAATTCTTCTTCAAGCTCGGCACATTTGCTAACGTTTTCGATCAGAGGCAGAAAGGGTGGGAGACAAGCCCAAGGAAGGAGGAGAGAAAAAGGAGAGGGAGGGGAAAAAGTGAGAACTGAGTCCTAGAGAACAAAGGGCTGCCTTAAAGTAGCCAAATCGTCAGGTATTAAAATGCTCTATTTTGCCAAGGACACTGCCCCCAACCTTGCAACAGCACCAAGGCAGGGTGACAAAATCCAACAATTCTGAAGTGTGATAATTTGGCTTCTTTTTTGGCTGCACCAAAGAGCATTTATGAAGGAAAAACAAAGGAGTATAAAGGACCCAAAGAAAGCATTTAAAGCAAGATAGAAGACAGCAGAGGGTGTCGTTATACCAAACGAACCAGTAGACACTGGAAGCTGAAAGACGTCTGGGTTGCAGTTAAACCTAAAACCACACATGAGCCATCAGTACCTTATCCTCTGCAGCCATTAATGCTTTCAAGGTCTGATCCATTATTCTTAATTGTTCTTCCAGCTGTCGAACTTGGCTGTTAGTGGACACAGGAAATGCACAAGGCCATTCTCAAAATCAGTGTGCAGGGAAGGCATGCAGTGATACACGCATTCATACAGACACCCCACACAAGTCCTCCGTGTTCCATACTCGCAGCTCATCCATGGCAGATGAGCGCAGAAGGAGCCCGGAGCTGAAACAGGTAAATGTGCAGCTGCCAGAAGGTCATGCTGTTTAGTCACTGCTCTGGAGCACCCCACACACAGGACACCGGCACCGGGCCCGCCTACCTTTCTGAAAGCTCAGCCCGCTCCTCCGCGCGTTCCAGGTCACTCTCGATGATGACCAGCTTACGGGCCACCTGCAGCACGACAAACACAACACACACACACACACACACACACCATGGGGCTGGCAAGCGTTAAGTAAGGGGGCAGGGTATGGAGGCGGCTACTGGATCCACCAGCCCCTAGACGTTCTTACGGACAAATCAGATGGCCCTTTTTCTCGTGGGCTGGAGAGAAGCCACTCTCTACCAGGAGGGCCGATGGAGAGTAGACCAGAGGCTTCTGCTCACAAAGACCAGAATGGTTGGTTATTGAGTAGGCAGTCTCATTTTAAGTCTGACCCAGGTGAAGTCCATATAATTACACAGCAGCCAGCCAAAGTGTGGAAGGAGGGAGAGAGATAAAATTCACAATCTCAAAAATAGCAGCATGCTGAGACATGCTGCATTTGATGCTGTAAAGGTAGGGGCTGCCAAAAAACACTGAAAATACTCCTTAGAACTCTGTCAATTTAGAGCTCTGTACCTCAACCTCCTCTTTGTGGAGGAGGTTAAAAATAACACCAGAACAGCAGCAGAAGCTAACATGGGATGGGCTGGTAAGGTGACTAATGAAGTCAAGTCGGTGTTCAGTGGGGGAAAGAACCTGGGGGAAGAAGGGGTCCTCGGAGCGTTTCAAGGAGAGCAATAGTAATAAGAATAATGGGGTGGTCGTAATAATAATGATGATGATGATGGAAAAAAGTAGTGTCAGTACCATTTCAAGATAGCCATGATACATTAAGGGAAAACTAAAACAAGTCATATTAGCTTTGTTATCATAGGAGGTCGTTCTCATGGGGACATGACCAGAAGCTGATTCACTGGTGAACCTCTCTTGACAGTGGGATTCTACCATCTTGAAGAGAGGATGGACTGAAAAGGGCCTCCTGACTCTACACGGCCTTCAGTGCATGGACTGTGTCTCTATGCTGTGCGAACGGGGTGGTGCTAGGCGAATCACACCGAAGAGTGGCCTGCACGGTGACAATACGAGAGGCTCTTTCTACAAGGGACAAGAGGCCCAACTCTCCCTTCTCCTGGCCAGAGGTCTTTGTCCTGGTCTGGGGGTGGCCAAGGTGGGGGATCATGGGGGAAGCTTCAGTCCTTCTCAGTGCTATGGACTGGCTTCATGATAAAGCCTGGGATCCCTTAGCAGGATCAAATCAGAACTGTTTTCTGGAGACAGAGGAACTCTGCCTTCTCAAAACCACCCATTTCCACCAACAAAGCAGATCGTTTCACTAAAGAACACAAGGCTGTAAGCACTGCTCCTGGCCCCCACCGAGGCCACTGCTGGGAAGTCTGTGAGGCTTTGGGCCCCAAGATCTGACCTCTTCATACTTGCGGTCGGCATCTTCAGCAATGTGCTTGGCCTCTTTCAGTTGGATCTCCTGAATTTCCATTTTCTCCTCATCCTTTTGGGCTCGACTTTCAATGACTTTCATGCCTCTGAAAAGAAAGACGAGCAGGAAGACCCAAGGTTTAGAGGAAACCAACGTAAACCCACACTGCACTGCACTGCACTGGTTTGTGAAGCTTGGTATAACTGACAGACCCAAATAGAGCATAGAGCTGCTTTTACTTTCCAAACCATGAAGCAAGAGTTTCCAGAGCTGAAGACAGAAAAAGCCACACACTTCTCTGTTTATTGTGAATGAACCCTCACTTTCAATACTGGTGAAACTGTCCAGGGATCTAATGTTAAATGAAAGGTACCATGTCAGGATGCTGTTTGAAACTGCGAGGCATGGAAACAGGAAAAGCCAACATACTTTACTTGCTATATAAATAATGGGATTTTTTCCTTCTCCTGGTGGGAAGCTTCAGCTTGAAAATGGACCAAAGTTATAACAAAAACAAATTTGTCCTCATGTATTTCTTCCTACAAAGCAGGTAGCTATTCTTAGCCCATTAGCTACAAATGTAAGTTATCAGATTGAACCATATGAAATTGCTGATACTTGATGACATCAGACCTGTAAAAATGGCAATTTCGTAAGGGTCAACCTAATACTTTAGATAAGAAACTATGAATTTTGCCTTTAATAGAATTCTTTCATACTAGAGGTGTTGAGAAACGGACTGATACCAATGTCTATGCTGATATGTACGTTTGGATCCCACGGTGTTAAATTTTGGAAAATGTTAATTGGTCTGTGATATATTACAGTTTTACGGATAAAGTCATGTTAAAATGGGATTCAGGTAGCAAAATCTAAGCAGGCAGTTCAGATAAATGAGCCCCTACTTTTTGATGAAGTGCTACGGTATGTATCAGAAGACTGAGGTCCGGGGCTTGGCTTGGCCGTCAACTCGCTGTGAGACTGGGCAGGCCTCATCAACTGCTAAGCCCTTGTTTTCTCATTTGTAAAATGAGGGGCCTGGGGTAAACGACCTCTAAATTCCTTTTTACCACCGAGTCTAACATTGCCAGATTGCCTTTTAGGTTCACTAACAAGTACATTTCAGGAACAATCAGCCACAAAACCACTGGTATGTGCGTACTGTAAGAGATGATGAGTCATCCTGAGGAATTCCAAAACTCTTGGTTAGGGAAGAAACAATAAGCAACAGTGAATAATGAGCTGGAAACTTTAGCTTAAAAGCTTCTTGAATCTTCGTCCAAAATGACTCTTTATCCCTGGTGGCAGGGAGCAGAAACTCACTTCTATCCAAGAGGGAGAAATGGAAAGAGTGATTGACTGCATTCACTTGCCCGGGTCACAGCACGGATCCGCACTCCCGGCGTTCTGAGCCACCACACTACTCTCTCAACCCTCCAGCAGGAGAACTCTCTCTAGTCTCGTGGAGTTGTTCCTGGAATGCTTCTGTGCAATATGAATACACGAGCTTGAGAGGCTGAGCACACGGGAAAATGCCTTCTAGAACACATGGAGTTGTGCTGGGCTATATGGCCATGGTTTTCCTTTACTACCACAACGCTGAATCTTAGAGCAGTCAGTCAGGTAGAGCCAGGTTACAGGGAGCGGGCTCAGAATACACAAGTATCCGACTGTACTGATGTGCATGAGTGTCTTATCAGTGTTACTAAGTCCAAAACAATTACTTTCACAGATCATATTTCTGTTCTGTGCTTCCTTTTCCACTTATTTTTTGAGTTATTTGACAACTGATAGGCCCAGTCCCCTTTGCATATTTTAAAATAAAGTTTATCTTTTAAAAAATGCCTAACTGCTCTGTGGTCAGCAGGAATGAAGGAACCGATAGGCATCCCTAGAATATCTCATTTTAATGTCCCTCTCCTTTGCTGGACGGTGAGCTCTATGAGAGCAGGAATAGGATCGTTCTCTTCTTTGTAACCTTGGGGTTTAGAACAGCGCTTGGCACACAGGTGTCCCACTCATGTTAAACAAACAAACCTAGTAAAGTTATACCTGGGATCGACTGAGGAAAGGATCCCACCAAGGGACTCTAAAACTCTTAAGCCCCAAAGATCAGGGAAGCCGCCCGTCGCACCCAGAGCAGAGGCTGGTGCGGAAAGGTGGGCTGGGAGAGGTGCGCTCACCTCTCGCTCTCGTCCGCGGCCTTCTCAGCCTCCTCCAGCTTCTGCAAAGCTGTTGCCAGTCGCTCTTGGGCACGATCCAACTCTTCCTCAACCAGCTGGATGCGTCTGTTCAGAGAAGCTACGTCGGCTTCAGCCTAGGCAGAGAGAGTGAAAGGCGCTTCAGACCAGGAGAGAAAGCGAGGGCAGTGCCTTCAGGAAGTGGCGGAGCCTGAAACACCGACTTCAGACAGGAAGCCTGGCCCTGTGGGGAGCTACCTCCAGGTGCACCACACGCCCTGGTCCACTCTGGAGTTCTCGGAGGCGTGGCTCCATTGATGTGGTACAGTGAACGCACACACTTGTGTGTTTACAAGTCTACACGCACCATTTTCAGCAGCCAGAGGGACTGTGAGCAAGTGCTCTCTCGCTGGGTTCCTTTCTTCCACAGAACTCCACACTGGCCCTACCTGACTGCCCAAGGAGCGCTTCAGGACAGCCACCTCACTCACCAGGGCGCGAGGACTGGACAGAGGCGAGACTTACCCAGGCTCGGCCGCACAAGACAAGAGCAGGACAGCCAGAAACCAGACTCAGGGGTCTGCATTCTCCTCTCTCCTGGCCACTTGCTCAAAGGAGTCTTATAAAGGAACTAAAAGGTTTAAAAATTCAGCTGTTCTAAGATATACACCATACAGATGCAACGAAATCCAGTGACCGCCCCTCCCCCACCCTCTTCTCAGTGACCCCTGCAGAACTTGGTCATGCTGGAGCAGGGCCAAGACAAATTTCCCATGTATTTTTGAGATAAGCTTACTGGCATTTCTTACAAGGTTACTACAAGAAAAGTTTCAAACTCCTTAGAAGAAAAGCAGTGTAGAGACTACTTTTATTGATATCTGTATCTGAATTAAGATGTTTCTTTTTTGGGGATGCAATGATTACCTACTATGACAAGCGCTGGCTACTATGAGCCTCAGAACACTTGTAAGACTGTGACGGTCCCTCATATACACTGCATTAGGGTGTGTTTAAATACTATGCATGGAAGTCAGCAAGCACTTACTAATCAGGTACCATTTCCTCATCGGCATCCACTTTGAATATGTGCTTATCATGGGGTGATAAGGTTTTCAGGACACTTGAGAATTTTCTAAAAATTACAATACATACATACTTAGGCACCCATGTGATTTCCTTCTATATTCCTGTCTTCTTTACTCAATAGGAAGCCTCTTATATGTAGGGAGTCACAGTTCTCTGCACACAATATGGGCTCAGTAAATGTCTACTGAATAAAACAAGTAAAATCAACCTAATTTAAACAAAGCAACTTTCTTAGCTCATGGACCCATGACGAACACGGTTTGATAGGCACATGTAGTTAGAGAGAGGCTGTGATTATGGCCTTGAATGAAATGAATATGAGAACATCCAGCTCTTTGCTCATCAGGATTTGTAAAATTTTAAATGCCAAGTTTTGTCTGGAAAAGAGGTGATTAGGGCATCTCCAACCATGGTGAAGGACTCTATAAAAAATTCAAATACACTTTTATCTCATCAAAAATTAATTATGTAGTAATAATTGGCTGACGGAGTCAGGGAATAGGGGAAAAGGGAAACGGATCTGAGGAGGACAGTTTATAACCACATTGGCCTACAAGGTAAATCCTTACTGGGTTCTGCTAAGTCTGACCAGCTGGTGAGTATGGTTTTTTCTAGAGGAGAGGTGAGGGTAATAGGGACAATACATTTCTTACATATAAGGAACTGTCTTTTTAGCTCTATTTTTAAAAAATTGGTACATTTAGGGTATACTCTGGGTCAGGTCTGCTTTGTTCACTTTTCTCTATTTTCCATTTCCAGTAAAATTCTATTCCCTTTATGAACGGGGTGGGGGGGGCGGGGGGGAGATTAGCAAGCAAGTTGCAAAGTTGAAAACAAAAATGAACAGCAAAAACAAAAATACCATAGTAGAATGTCTATGTCATGTACTCAAAAGTATTTTTCTCCCCGCCTTCTTTATTATTTCTTTTAATATGAAGGCAAATATCTTTGTTACAGGCGCTATGGCCAGAGAAATGTCAACAAGATTTTCCAAATGTTTTCTTGTAGCCACCACATTCTAAGTTTCTGCTTTGTGTTTCATCTGGGCCCCAATCTTGAGAACTTCCTACTCACAGAAAGAAGACTGTTTCTGCTCTAAGGAAAGGACCTTCTGGGTGACAGGGCAGTCTAGGTCCTCATGTGGCTGAGGCACCAGAGAATAAGGAGACCGTACCCCATGCTCGTTCCTGCCTCTGTACACAAGAGCTCCCTACCTGAGAGGTCCACCATATCAATCTGTATCTTCCCTCTTACTGCCTCTCACTCTAACCATTCCCTCCTTTAGTTCTAGGCCCTGTTTTATAAATGTAACTAACTCTTTCTCTGGGGGCATGTTATAGAAACGTAAGACTTCCTGACATTATGGGTTGTGTCCTATAGGGCCTCATACAGGGTTTCATATAGGGCACCCAAGCCACAACTGGGAATGGAGGTCCACTCTAGGAGCTAGGACTGTTCGCACACAGAGAGCAGACATGTAGGTGGGTCACAAAATGGGGTCTCATCTGTTTAGCTGGAAGAGTCCCTAGGCATCGTTCAGCAGTTCCCACAACTGGCTGAGTGTCAGAATCCACTAGGAGGTGCGCGTTAATAATGCAAAGTTCTAGGCTCCATTCCTAGAGATTCTGATTCAGGAGGGAGGTCAGAAGGGAGGGCAGGCATCTGCAATATAAATAAGCAACCTGTTCCATTCCTGCACCTTCCCCGCCCCACCATCCACAGAAGCTGGCTAATCCTGTGGGAACCACTCTTTGAGCTCTCCATTCAAAAGAAAGGAGAGGGATCTCTGATCCAGACGGCTGACTTTGCTCAGGCCATCAGTGGGAGACAAGACTAAAGCCCCAGTTGCCTGGGTCCTCGTGTGTGGGCTCTGTCACTTCTCATGGCCTCCAGGGATCTCCGGCGCTTTCTCTCTTCCTATGTCAGAGTGGGAGGTCCTCTACAGCCTCCCCTAACACAACTCCCCACACAAAAGAAAGGCTTCCGTGACAGAGGCCAACCAGGGCTAGAAGAGTCACTGTACTGAATATCATCCACTAAACAAGTCCTCTCAGTCCTTTCTGAAATACGGTGTGGTATTACATCAAAAACCTCATCACAGGGGCGCTTGGGTGGCTCAGTCGTTAAGCGTCTGCCTTCGGCTCAGGTCATGGTCCCAGGGTCCTGGGATCGAGCCCCGCGTTGGGCTCCCTGCTTGGCGGGGAGCCTGCTTCTCCCTCTCCCACTCCCCCTGCCTGTGTTCCCTCTCTCGCTGTCTCTGTCAAAAAATAAATAAAATCTTAAAACGAAACAAAACTTCATCACATAGCACTCATGGGTGACCCCTCCCGTATGGACACAGAGCATTTGCTCTCAAGCCGGGAAGCCAATACCTGCTGCCCCTGAGGTTTCCCAGGACAGGCACAGGTGCCTGTAGGCTCCAGTGGGGACCTGAGAGCAGTGTCTGGGGTAAGTCTATCCCCATGAAAGCTTTCCCTGGGAAAAACCTGGACTCTCACTGGCTTCTCAGGCCCTACCATACTGGTGTAGTCACAATGCTGTTTGGGTCCCCAGAATTCAAATTAAGTTTAATTCCACAAATGAATAGGAGCACTTCTTTCTCTCTTATTTTTAGTTGCACATGCGTGTGTGTGTGCGCGTGCATGCACACGTGTATGTGTGTATTTGGGATTTTGCCTTGTGTTCAAAAGGCCCCTCTCACCTACACTAGCTTTTATTTGTGGTGTTTTCTAAGTTCTGAGGTTTATTTAGGTATTCTCTAAGGCTCCTTTCATCACAGAACCTGGGCAGTCTACTTAAGATTTAACCTGCAACTGCCTCTGCCAGTACAAGCCCACAGCCAAATGAGTATCTGTTATTTTAAAAGCACATATAAGTAACAAGGCTTTTGGGAAGGGTCTAGACCCCAGACGCAGATTATCTCCAGGCATGGAAATCACCCTTTGTGTGCTGGGTTAGCTTCTTCTAACAACGGGCCCATGTGTTGACACTGCTGGTAGAGTCTTTCAATTTGGGATGCTGGTTTCTTTTATTTCAAAAGTGCTATTGTGTCCCAGCATGTAATGAGCTCTTCAGAAAAGAGACTGCTATATTAGCAAAGGCTACCAATTATCTTCCTGCAGATCTGTTATTAACCACCAGGTACTTTGCAGTTGCGCCTGCCCTGTCCCCTCACCCAAACCAAAGGTACTAGTTACCTGCACAGAAAACAAGGGCAGGCACACCACTGCTCCCCACCCAACACGGCACCACACGGAAATCAAGGGTATGGCCACCACAATACAGCAAAATATTACTTCAAATCTGATTTGAAAGAAAACTTTTATGAGGCCTACATTTTCATGAAATCCAGATGTCTTGGCCAATACAACTAAAAAAAAAATAGCAATGATGTTTGTTTAAAAAAAAGTATTCTAGTTAATACTAATAAGAAAAAAATAATTGTAGGAAAATAACATGATAGCCTAAAAAGTGATCCTCTGGAATATGTTTTCAAAGCCCTGCCTGAACCACAGTGGAACATGGGATGATCAAAGGTCAGGCATTTTTATTTCACGCAAACTGTAGTTACACAGAGGTTTCACCCAACTTGCTGTGTAAGACCAAGTGACTACAGCCAAGTTAAACTTCTGCCCTTATATGGTAAGGAAAGGGGGAAAAAAACCACTGATGACATTAAGGGGCACTCCCATGGATAACAGATAAACACAACCTCCTCTATCTGTGCCAAAGCCTATAATTTATGAGGCATATTTGTATAATGAGGGAGAACGGACATGAACAGGGCATTGTAGTGCCCTTGCTTTGCCCACATATGAAAACAGAAATCGTGAGTGTATATTCCAGTTACTGCCAGGAACTGGGGGCGCCAATGTGAGCACAAAGCACACTCTCGAGCCTCCTGGTTTCAGAGATATTTACCAACTCAAAAGTGGGACAGGGCAGGAGAGTTTTGTAAATTGGTTATTTCCCACGATTTAATAAAATTACCAGTTAAGAACCTATAGGCTATAACTTTACGTTCTCCTTGTTTGGGGGATACCACCCAGAA